TAGCAAAAGCAGAAAGAAATGTTATTTCGTTCTTTAAATTTAAAGTGTTTGTGCAATACCTCTTTCCTCTATAGTTTTTCATTTGCATGTAATGTCCTTTATACTATAAATCACTATAGAGACAGAAAGGTATGATGTGGTGCCAGAGAGCTAGGCTGCTCTGTGATCTTGGGCAAGATACTGAATCATCCTGGGTCTCCATTTCCACATCTATAAAACAGATAAGGTAACTGTACTCACCTTACAGAGTAATAACAAAGATAAAGTAGGTTAATACAGATAAAGTATTAGAAATAGTACTTTAAGAGTACTCTGGTTAGTATTTAAATGCTGTTGATAATTCCTTTGGTCACTATTTGAATTCCGTTTACACTGTTTTTTGAAAATATTTCTAATGGCTAAAGTTCCGTGGATTCTTCTGCAGACACACAAAATGGGAGAGGAAGAAACGTATGTGTGTTCAGACAAATATCACTTGTATATTTGTTTTATTTGACTTTCAGTCAAGTGTTTCAATTCTTTTGGAGAAAAATCTGTATTTTACACACTCTTGTGAACAGTTCTTACTCTGGCTGCAGTCTTTTCAAAACAGCATTAATGTACCCAGACTCTCATCACCTTTCTGTTAATACAGTTATTTAATAATGAGTAGAAAGCCGATGTAAGCAATACTTTTTCTCTTGATTATTAGGAAAAAGTAAAACCTTTCAATAATCCCCAAAGAAGACACAGCACTTCCAATTCTACACAATAACAATGAATCAATAACTACTGTACAGTTAACAAATTCTGTAGTACTTAGATTGGGAATCCCAAACCCATTTTTCAGCAACTCTCACGTCCTATTTCTCCATACCCTCTCTAGGGGAAGCTAAGAAGGACCAACAGAAGAAATTCTAGTCCCTTGAGGATACTAAAAGATCAACATAAGTAATACCTTGCTGCCTCTTCCTGCATTTTTCTTGTAGGTAGGTCACAGCTGAAGAAATCTGCAAGGTGTCAATCGATCAGGCTGTCTAATCTCACCTGAGTTTTCACTGCTACTTGGCAATCACTTTGACTTACAATGCATCTGCCCTGATAGCTTTGACAACTTTAACAAACTTTCCTTACTTTCCTCATCTCTATATCTCCCATCCACAAACCAGGCACACATCTCCTCACTCTAGCATAGTTTTCAACCTAGGTGAGGTAGCAAAACCCACCTGAGAAAGCTTTTGCAAGTGATGTGCATCACTGCTCCTGCTGCTGCCTCACTTTCACCCCCAAATTCTTATGTACCTGTTTGGGAGAACAAGCCAGAATCTCAAGGAGAGGCATACATATTTGAAAAGGTGATCTCCTTGTGGATAGAGACCTAATCATATTCATTTACGTACCTAGCACTTAACCTAGTGTCTAATATATAGTAGACCCTCAGCAGACTCCTAAACGAATATACAAACCACCGAAATAGTTTATTTAGATAATCAATCTCATGATCACCAATTCCAAAGTCTCTTGTCGGTTTACAGTCTTTGCAGCATTTTCGCAACGTTGAGGGTAATATGCTATAGTGGTTCAAAGCATAGGCTCTGACGCCAAATTAATGGGTTAGAACATGAACTACACTGCGAAGCATGAACTTTGTAATTTTGGGTAGACATTACTGAACCCCTCTGAGCTTCAGCTTCCTCATCTGTAAAAACGGGGAGAATAAAAGTACCTATCTCATAGGGTACTGTGAAAATGAAATGTTAGTACATGTAAAGAGCTTAAGCTGAGTGCTCAGAATATAGCACACAGTTCATAAATGTGAGCTAACATTTTCATCATCATTATTAAAGCCCATGACATAAGTTAAAATTTGTTCCCTGGCTTTTGTGACCTTACCCACTATCATGCTCCTCCTCTCTGACTTTTTCAGTTGCCTCCTCTGTTTTAGTTTTACTCAAGATTCTATTCTCACTGCTTTTCTTTACTCTTACTCTTAGCAATCTCATTTCGCTCCTAAGGCTTCACCTATCATCTCCATGTGGACGAAGCCAACCTTGGCTTCTCTCTCCCAAGCTCCAACTCAAACTCCCCTGTTGAGGACTTAAATCATCATCACACTTCAGATTAGCAAATCTCATTTCCATAGATTTATAAAACCCAAGGATTTAATAATCCTAGGTTCTACACCTATTAGTTCATGACCATAGGCTAATTACTTGATCTCTCTGTGCTGTTTCTTTATCTATAGATGAGGATAATGAAAGTATTTACCTTACTGGGTTGTCATGAGGAATAAATGAGAAAATATGCAAAACATATAGTATAATGAATTGCACATAAAACGCTCAATAAATGGTAGCTTTGTTATGTCAGACTCAGATGCATTTTGGCTGCTCAAGTTGGTTTGCTGTGGCCTGACTCTAGTATGTGTGGGTCTGAGAATTCTTGAGAATTAGAAAATGAGATTACCTTCAGAGAGTTTAACTTGAACATGAACACACAATCGTTTAAAGCAGTGATGTTACCAGAAGAGAGAATGAATGTGAAGCTAGTAGAACTAGACATCTTTAATCAGATTGAAAGTATTTATATAGCAAAAGAAACAACATGGCAGTCTACAGTGGCTTAGAATGGCAATTTATGGAAACAGAGGAAATGTTGTGTCCTAGGGGCTCCAGAATTCAGGGCAGGTCTAAGTCCAGCGGGGAAAGGGTATGAACACAGAATCTTGCATTAAACGCAAGACCTTCCCTATATGTCTTTGGACTGTACCAGACAATCAGCCTGACTCAATTAAAAACTCACTTCATCTAATTCCACTTGTTCTGAGTCACACTTTGCTATTTGCTCTATAAATCCTTGTTATAGGTTAGCTTCCCCATAAAGGCCTGCTTCCACAGAAAATGTTTTAGTCAAATGAATATATTTTTATTTCCAATCCCTGTTACAGGGATTTTTCATGATGAATTAATACAGCGACTTTCATGATCTGAGTTTCCTTATTACAGAGAGAGAAAGTGCTGATCTTGCCAACATGAATATTTCTATTCTCTGTGGCAGTTACATTTCACATTATGAATTAACTGATTAAAAGAATCTGAAGCCAAATGCCTGAATTTGAACCCTGGTTCTGGTATCTACTAGTTCACAACCACAGGCAAGTTATCCGATCTCATTATGCCTGTTTCCTTATCTATGTAATGGAAATGATGATAGTATTTACCTCACTGGGTTGTCATGAGGAATAAATGAGAAAATATACAAAACATATAGTACAATGAGCATAAAGTGCTCAGAAAATGGTAGCTTTGTTATCTCCATCTCAGTTGCATTTTGGTTCACTGTGGCCTGACCCTGGTATGTATGGATCTAATCAGATACAGTTCCATGAGATGAGATCCAGACTACTTCCAACTTTTCCCTAAAGGCCACAGTGTTTTAAAAAAATTTTATTCAAAATTGGGTATAAACGAATGGCGTGTATTCTTCTGAGACAATGGGCCAGAGTTTTCATCAGGTCCTCAATAAGTACATGACCCTGAACAGATTTTTAAGAACAAAACAAAACCTATTGCCTTAACATTACCACTACCATTTTCATCTTTTTCTTCTCCTCTTAAATGATGTCTATATCTTCCCCTGGAACTCTAATGAAAAAGTTACAGTATTTTAAAAAGTCTTTTTCTGTAATGTTATTCTATTATAATCCTTCCCATTTTCAAAACTGCCAGGTTATTTCCTCAAGAGAACTGTAAGAATATTACTTCGTCTACTCAAAAACATGGCAACTCTCTAACATCCAAATATCTTACCTGAGCATTCAAGCCTCTATGACATGGCCATAATCTACCTTACCTTTCCAGCCTTGTCCTCCATAAACAGCCCTAAAAGAGTCACTTGCTATTGCAGAACTTCATGCAGCTATCCTCCATATCTCATCTTACTCTGTCTAGAATGTCTTTTCACCATCTTGTGCTTTCTTCAACACTGCTTTCTCAAGTAAAACAACACCCTTCTTTAAGAGTCACTATCTTTAATAACAGATATATTTAATTCTTCCTGTTAAATAGTAAATTCTTTGGAGGATAGGGGCTACGGCCTTCTTTTATATTCTCAATTTACCTAGTATGGTGGCTTATGATAAGTTTAGATAAATATTCATTCTCTGGTAATCTTTTCAAAGTTAGCAGGCAGAACATTCTAATCTACTATATTCCAAGAATTTCTAGATAGTCATTAAATTCGAAGCACCAAATTTCAACCTGTTAACTAAAGGCAAAAACTGTTATGACATAACATGCCAATAAATTTTAAACGAACACTGTCATAGTCATAGTTATGCCTTAGAGAAGATGATTACAGCATTATAAAGATTAAGTGGACAATGGACTTTCATATTACATAGATGATAATGGTATTCTATCACCGAGGACTTACAGAAGAGTAACAGAAACCATCTCCTCTTCCCTTCAAATACATATGTTCTATGAAGTATACAGTACAATTATCTCAGTAATTGCCTAGAAACATTCAAGGCCCAGTTACTGACAGAGGTAATGTTTCAATCCAAGGTTACTAAATCAGGGGCAAGTTCCCTAGGCCAGTGGTTCTCAACACTTGCTGCTCCTTAGAATCCCCTGCAGTGTTAGAAAGAACAGATTCCTGGGCCTCTCTCCAGATTGACTAAATTAGACTCAGGGAATGCTGCTGAAGATTAAAGTTGTTTTAAAAATTCCTGGTAGATTCCAATTTTCAGCCAGAGCTGAGAACCACTGCCCTAGACTAGCTCAAAATCTTGTGTACCTTGACAGTTAACATAAAAGGCTTCCTTTTAAGATCACCTTAAGCTCTATGGAATGGCTGAAACTTATTCTCTGACTTGCTGACTTGGGCCTATATGTCAACACTTAATCTTGAATTAAAAGAGCTACTATCTTTTTTTCTGGGATGAGGCATTACCAAGAAGTTCATGATAGGATTCTTGGGCTGCCTTCTCTACCACTTCACAGGATGTGGGCACTTACACTCTTCTTTACTTGGTGAAGTTACATTCAGTTCTGTCGGAAGCGGCTGCTGGCTGGGACTAAGAGTTGGCGTGGTTATCGAGGTATTGGTGTTGTCACTGGTGGTCTCTTCGGAAAACAAGTCTGATTGGCTGTTACTTGTACTTGGAGTGGAATCATCGTCTGGTTGTTTCTTTTGAAAATCTGAAGAGAAAGAATGAGAAAACCAGTTTAATGAAGAGGTTTCACAATCTTCTTGGTATTAGAAAACAATGAAAGTTAGTATAAAAATTAAATGTAATAGCAGCAATAAAAAAAGGCGACTTTGGGTGGTTAAAAAGTAGAAGTAAAATACTGGTCAAAAACATAAAATTGTTGGAGGGTAACTAGAGCGAAAGCTTTCCAAGGTCTTTGTATTATTCAGAAGAATGGTAGAATGCTGATTTTAAAATATGACTTTGCAAAGCAAACTGCATACTAAAATATTAGGGGTAATCAATAAAAGGGAAAAAAAGGAATACAGAAAATCTGTTCAAACAAACAGAGGATAGGTTTGTTTGAAGGGAAAAAAACTGCAGAGAACAAAGCAGGGTAAACAGAAAATACCTAATGGCAGATGGTAGATAGAAATAAGTACAGACACATACCAGTAATGGAAATAAATGTAAAAGACTAAGCTTAGTAGTTACAAGACAGAAAATTCAGATTGAATAAACAAAGTTTTGCTCTTTGCAGTTTATGAGATACTAAAAACAAACATGAAGATACAGAAAATTTTAAAGTAAAAATATACTAGCAAATACACATGATTAAAAAGCCAGTAATAGGTATAGTACTGTCAGAAAATGTAGGCTTTAAGGCAAAAAGCATATTAGAGGTAAATAGGATCACTATATAATAGCAAAAAAAAATTTTTTAACCAGGAAGATAAAACAATTCTGAACCTGTATGTACCTAATAACAAAGCTTTAAAATCTAGAAAACAAAAATGATTGTAATTAGTGGAAACTGGCAAATTTACTATCATAATGGGAAGATTTTAATATAGCTGTCTCAGATAAAGTAGTAAAATTGGTTAAGATTAGTAAACATGTACCAACTCATGTACCCCAAATTAGATAATAAATTATTTTCAAACACATGTGGAACATTTATAAAAACTAACTGAAACCTGGCTAACCCTTGACAACACATTAGACTTTATTATAAAGCAAAAGTCTCAATAGATGCCAAAGAGTTCTTAAGATACAGACATATTAGCTGACCACAGAACAATTAAGTTAAAAATACATAACAAAAAATGCTACATATTTGGAAACTTTTTTATTTTAATTTAATTTTAATTTTTTTTAGGCGAGGCAACCCTTGGTTGACCTCACAGATTGCAAGGACCTTGTCATCTTATAATCTCTTATTTTTTATTTTTTATGCCTATAACACCTGGTCTTCCTAGGTGGTCCCTCATCCAAATACTAACCAGGCCCGACCCTGGTTAGCTTCTGAGATCAGACGGGACTGGGCTTGTTCAGGGTGGCATGGCTGTAGACGCAAAGAAATTTCAAAAAGTACACTTTTAACTCATAGGTCAAATCAGAAAACAGAAAATTAGAAAATATTTATAATTAAACAATAATAAAATTACTACCTATCGATATCTGGTAAATATAAAGATGCACATACATTACCTACACCAATCATTTCATTCCTAGGTATATGTCTGAGAGAAACTCAACACACATGTACAAGGATCTTAATGATATATTATTTGTGATAGTAAAAAGTTAGATACAACCTAGAGGTCCCTATATTGTATATATTCCAATAATGGAATAATATACATAATGAGAACAAGTAACTATTGCCACATATATTAACATGAATCTCAAAATCATAACGCTGACAAAAAAAAAGCATGTCACTAAATAACATAGTAAGATAGTACTTACATAAACATTAAAAACAGGTAAAACTCAATATATTGTTTAGGAACATGTACGTTTAAACCATTAAAAAATATTAACCCAATTCAGCACAGAGGTTACTTCTTAAGTTGAGGGAGGGGGATGTGAAGGTGAAAAATATGCAGAAATATTAAAAATTACAGGTAATGTCCACTGACAGAATAGATTAAAATGGTATATTCTAGCATATAATGGAATACTCTGTGGCAGTTAAACTAAATGAATAAAGCTACAAATGTAACAGGAAAATCTCAAAAACAATGCAGGGAGAAAAGCAAGCTATAGGATATATGTAGTATAGTAATATTTATGTGAAAAATTTAAATATGTAAAAATACCACATATTGTTTATGCATACATATTTACAATATAAAAACATACATGGAAATGATACACCAAATTCAGGATAGTGGTTATTGGGAGTGTGGAGGGAGGGGAATAAGGGTCTTCAAATCTATCTGTAATTTTTTATTTCTTAAAGCTGGTGGTGGGTTATAATCACTATGTATATTGTCTGTTTCACTTAAAAAACCTAATACTAATCTATTAAGTACAGATTATATTTTACTATGTCAATTCAAAGAAGAAAAAGATCTTGATAATTCCACACTGTCTTGTCTTTTGAACCACAAAGAAGCTTCTGCTATTATGCTCTATAACCTCATCAGACATATTCTGAGCATAAGAATAGCTAGCATTTATGTTCATTTACTGTGGCCAGGCACTAAAAAATGCTTTAGGTTATGTAACTCATTTACTTTAATCCTATGGATAACTCTAATATGGGAGGTATAATTAATACTACTTTTTGAGGAAGAAATTGAACCTCAGAAAGTTTTGGTAATTTGTTTCAAGTTAATGGCTAGTAAGGAGCAAGATCAGAATTTAAATACAGGTCCTGACACCAAAACCCATGGTCTTCAATCATGACCACAGGATGCAGGAATGGTGAACACAACACTGGCCCAAGGAAAAGGCCTCCATGTCAAGCCCCCACCCATTTATAGCATCAAAGGTAAGTGCAACATAAGAATCACTACCCTGCTGTGCAGATCAGTGATCTAAAGCTTCTACTGCTTCTCTTCTGTGTATGTATTTCTTAGCCACTTTCTTATTCTTCAGTGTTTTGACACTTTTAAATAGCTTATTATCTCAATGTTATTTGTAAAGCACCTTCAGAGAAAAAGGTACTATATAAATGGAATAAAAATACTGCAATAATGATGTTTCTTTTTTATGTTATGCCATCTCATTAGTTCTCCTATGCCAATAATCATTGTGTCCCTTCTATAACTCTCTCTCTACCATTTAACTGGAAATGTTATAAGGCCCTAAAAGTGAAACTGAATCATCATTGTACCATCTAGCACAATCCCCAGTCCCCCAGACAGACACACACGTACACTCACTCACTCAGGCACAATGACCCGTAGGGGTTAAATCATGTTTTTGTTTAAAGACATTGTTACCAGGTACCACTCACACAATCTTCAGTCCATGCTTGCCATATTCCTTAATGCTCAGGTATTTTTCTTTAAGTTTTCTTTTGTACATATGAAGTTGACACACTTAACCCTATCCTCCCACTAGGCCTTTTCTGCATCTGCACATGGCGATGGTATGGAAAATCATCAGGCTAAAAGTATTCATTACAAATCACATTGGCTCACACAAAAGAACTAGTTGCAGCTCTAAAAATTCTCTACTTCAGTTCAATAAAGAACCCAAGAATCACAGAATTTTTCAATCAGAATTAATTTTAAAGATCCAATTCAATCTTCTCATCTTACAGAAAAAGAAAGCAAGAGCCAAGGGAGTAAATTAATGCTAACTCACCAGAAATTTAGTCAATCCTAAGAGTTTTCTCTTAGGCTAAAGTTAGCAGCTCGTATTATAGAAAGAGCTTTGGAACTAAATCTGGATTCAAATCCTCACTTTGTTATTTACTGGGCATATGGCTAAAAGCAAATTATTTAATCTTTTGGGGTCCTGTCTGTAAAATGAAGGGAAGGAGTTATTTCTACCTCTCATAATAATGTGGTTTAGATAAGATAATTTATTTACATAAAGTATCTAGCACATGGATACTCAACAAATGACAGTCATTAAAAATAAAAGGTATTTCCCTAATTTAAAGAGCACAGAATTAGCTCTTTTTACTTTTTACTCTTGTTCCTTTCTTTCTGAATCATTCTGCATCCAACTTCTGACTCTGACTCACCCCCCAAAACCCATAAGTCTACTCTAAGGACAAAAGGAAGTAGATCTGAATTACACGTAAAAAAGTAAACGACAAAAAAGGCAGAGAGACTATGTTCACTCTACAATAAAAAGCAGTGCAGAAGTGCAGACAGTGTCACTTCATTTGCCCCAGACACAGTAAGGACTTGTTCACTTGTTTTACACTTTTTTTTTTTTAAATAAGTGAGAAAATTAGACATCTCCAAGCTTATTCATTTCTATGAGGAAAAAATATATATAATTATCTATTTTTGTAAATTGATAAGTTAATGGTATATCCAAAGGTGTAAACTTGATCTTGAATACAGCTGTGAGTCTGAAAGAGGTTTATATGATTAAAACTTTTCCAAATTAAAGTTATTTGCAAAACCTGAGTAAAAACCTTTGACCTTTAATGGGATTATTGTTCAGAAGTGAACAGAAGCCAAGATCTTGGTAGATTTACCTTATTATCAACTAAGGGGAAAAATAATTTCCCAACGAAGGTGTCTTGGGACCTGAGATATCCAGAAAATGAGATGTTTCCACAAAATAGAAAAACTGACCTAATGGTACCAGCTGAGCCAAAATGGCCAGTAAAGTCCCTGGGGCTGGTTGCCCACCTACTCACTGGACGTATTTTTTTCCACTGTTTTCAGAATGATTTTTCTCACGGGTCAATCTTCTTACTACAAGACTGGGAGCACAGAAAAGCACCTCGTCCTGCTCTTCTGAGAAGCCCATTCACCTGGGCAGTCTCACTGAAACTATACTTTATTTAGTCATTACTCAAAACTCACCTTTGATATGTATATGCCTCAATTTGTTTTTCTTTCAGATATACTACACAGATTTGGCAAGATTGCTTAGCTCATTTCAATTCCCACCCCACTTCCAGATAATGAAAATGACTTTTTTAATAGTTTGTTCAAGGTAGAGAATACACAAAAGTGATTTGAAAGGATTTCACTAAACCTTTGTTCTTTGAAGTAAGTCTTTTGTCCTTTTTGAAATCCTCTTCAG